GACATGTAACATCCCCAGTAGTTCCATGGTGGTGGTGGAAGTATTAGGATTAAGGAAAGATATCAGTAGTAAGGTGATACATCCCAACGTCCCGAGAATTAAGTAAGAGTGGTACAAACCATTACAATTGTAGCCGGTATATACAACATACACAAATAACCCGCACATAGAAGAGAGGAGCTTACGACGACGTTTCCATCCGACTTGGACCATTTACAAAGTCACACTAACCAGAAGTGGAGCAGGACGGCTATATATAGGCAGGAAGAGGTAGTGGTGGAGTTGGTAGTAGTAGTAGTAGTAGTAGTATAGTAGTAGTAGAAGTAGAGTAGTAGTAGTGGTGAAAAAGGAGGAGGAGCCAGTCAAATACAAAGAAAGTTTATATACAACATCTCTTGCAGGGACACTATACATCACACACAAGCGAGGTGGCTACAACCACTGACAAACAAATTATGGAACAAATGCTCTTGCAACCGTGATACTCAAAACAATGAAGAATTAGACACTTTTGAAACATTCGAGAATATTTATTGTGGAAACGTTTCGCCAGCCATTGGCTTCCTCAGTCCAATACAGAGAAGAGCGGTGGAAGATGAGGAGTTTGAGGAAATAAGTCCCTCAGCCTGGGGTCCAGTCCAGTTATATACCTCTGTAAACTTTTGACTCCCGCCCACAGGATGGGTATGGGGTGACTACCTCCCGCAGGATGGGTATGGGGTGACTACCGCCCACAGGATGAGTATGGGGTGACTACCGCCCACAGGATGGGTATGGTGTACTCCGCGGGAGGGGGAATAAAGGAGGTATATAACTAGCCCAAGGATCGATGGTGTTCGCCCAACAGTCTTGAGAAAAGTACAGTATATGCACCTGTCTGCAGTAAATACTGCAGACAGGTGAGTTGAAAGTGTATAAGTCTTCAACCTGTTGGTTTTCTAAACCATTTACATTACAGAAAAACAGTACATGTGTGATAAATCCTAGCACACATAAAGTCAGTCTGTTAACGAAAGAGAGTGCACAAGAGAAACACTGGAAGCCTCCAAGACTATGTCATGACTGAGTGTATGCTCACACTTATCTTAATTTAACAGTACGTTAAGGTTGTACACAAGTTACATGCAGCTTTACCGATTCTCTAATAGCTAATACATTTAAAATCAGTAAACGAACTAATCAATGTTAAAACATTGTCAACTATTTAGGTTGAGATATACTGTGTACATCAAACTGTGTTTGTTAGCAGGATGAGTCGCGTCCTACAACAAGCCTCATCCTCCAGGCAAAATATTAAAAAAAAAAAAGTGTTTCTGTTTTTTTCTTTATATTTTGCTTATTTTCTCACTATCATGTCTTCCATGACGCACCTTCCTCTCATCCTCCACAACACCACCACCACCATCTCGTCCACACCGCTGTTTCCTCTAAATTATCTTTCCTTACACCACCACTCGTTTCTCTCCCGCTATATCACTTTCTCTCACACGTTCACTCATTTCTCTTCCCTCTACTTCAGTCTCCCTCGCATCACAATTCATATCTTCCCCTCTTTGTCACCTTTCTTCACACCATCATCTAACTAAAATTGTTAAGGTCGCTTTACCATCCAAATAAGATGCAGTATTCCTGTAACCTATAAATCCAGACCCTCAACCTCGATACATGCAAAGGAAATACTACAGAGTGCGACCGAAGTTTCAAATATATTAAATATCAGTGTTGAGAATTTGAAGTTTACCAGAACTGTCATTCCAAAGGTACCAGAATTGTCATTCCAAAGGTACCAGAATTGGCATTCCAAAGGTACCAGAATTGGCATTCCAAATTTACCAGAACTGGCATTCCAAAGTTACCAGAATTGACATTCCAAAGTTACCAGAACTGGCATTCCAAAATTACCACAACTGGCATTCCAAAGTTACCAAAACTGGCATTCCAAAGTTACCAGAACTGGCATTCTAAAGTTACCAGAATTGGCATTCCAAAGTTACCAGAACTAGCATTCGAAAGTTACCAGAACTGGCATTCGAAAGTTACCAGAATTGGCATTCCAAAGTTACCAGAACTGGCATTCCAAAGGTACCAGAACTGGCATTCCAAAGTTACCAGAACTAGCATTCCAAAGTTACCAGAACTGGCATTCCAAAGTTACCAGAACTGGCATTCCAAAGTTACCAGAACTGGCATTCCAAAGTTACCAGAACTGGCATTCCAAAATTACTGCATGGAAATATATTTCCCAATTTCTTCAACAAAATTAGCATATGGAGTCTACACAGCCGCCTGAAACTTATGCTAAGATACACAAGCTGTAAAGGTTTAAAGTCTATCAGAACATGCGTTCTCTAGATATTACATGGACACTAGAATCCTCTTGTTTTTTAATACAATTGGCAAATTTGAACTTGCACAGCCCAGTAACAACATTCCTCCGAGAAAGTACCTCATAAAAACGGGTATTAAGTCTGAAGTAACACATACAGAGTCTGTTTGGATAGAATTTTCAGAGGGGCATGAAAAATTGATTTTAGGTGTGATATACCGTCCCCCAAACTTAGATAGGGACCAAGGGAGACTACTATGGGAGGAAATTGTTAGGCCCAGAAGGCACGATAATGTAGTAATTCTAGGAGACTTTAACTTTAGTCATATTGATTGGAATTTCTTGACTGGGAATTTAGAATCATACGACTTCTTAGAAGTAGTTCAGGATTGTTTTTTGAAGCAGTTTGTGACAGAACCTACAAGGGGTAATAACCTGCTTGACTTAGTTCTGGCAAACAATGAATCCCTTGTTAATAATTTAGAAATTTCAGAGGAATTGGGAGCTAGCGACCACAAATCAATTACATTTAGCATTGAATGGAAGTATGATAGTAGCGATAACTCAGTAACAGTCCCAGATTTTCGCTTAGCAGATTACGATGGGCTTAGAGAACACTTATCATCTGTTGACTGGGGTAACGAAAAGAGCTATCAATATGACAGTTTTCTGAACACTATACATGCTGCTCAAAGAACGTTTATCCCGTATAAAGCAATTAGATCAAATAGAAATGACCCAAAATGGATGAATAATAGGCTCAAATATCTACTAGGGCATAAGAAAGGAATTTATAGGCGTATCAAAAGATGTGAGGGTCATCTTATGAATCAATATATTGACATTAAGAGGGACATTAAAAAGGGGATAAGAAAAGCTAAAAGGGACTATGAAATTAAAGTTGCTAGGGATTCTAAAACTAACCCAAAAAGTTTTTTCCAGGTATATAGAACAAAAGTAAGAGATAAGATAGGTCCCCTTAAAAATAACTATGGGCATCTTACTGACAAAGAGAATGAAATGTGCTCGATTTTAAATAATTATTTTCTCTCGGTTTTTACACAGGAAGACACTAACAATATTCCAGTAATTAATTTTTATAGTGGGCTAGAAGAAGATAAATTATGTAACATCACAGTCACTAGTGAAATGGTTGTGAAGCAGATAGACAGACTGAAGCAAAATAAGTCGCCGGGTCCTGATGAAGTTTTTTCAAGGGTTCTTAAGGAATGCAAAATGGAACTCTGTGAACCATTAACTAATATTTTTAATTTATCTCTTCAAACAGGTGTAGTGTCTGATATGTAGAAGATGGCTAATGTAATTCCTATTTTTAAAACAGGGGACAAGTCGTTACCGTCAAATTACCGCCCAATAAGCCTGACCTCAATTGTAGGCAAATTACTAGAGTCAATTATAGCTGAGATTATAAGAAGCCATCTCGATAAGCATAACTTGATTAATGATACTCAGCATGGATTCACAAGAGGCCGGTCTTGTCTAACTAATTTATTAACTTTCTTCGGTAAAGCTTTTGAGGCTGTTGACCACGATAAAGAATTTGATATTATTTACTTAGATTTTAGTAAGGCTTTTGATAGAGTTCCGCACCAAAGACTGTTAAAGTGGCAGCTCATGGCATTGGGGGAAGGGTGCTCTCGTGGATCGAATCATGGCTCACAGACAGGAAGCAGAGAGTCAATAAATGGGGTTAAATCCGAGTGGGGATCAGTAACGAGTGGCGTTCCACAGGGATCAGTCTTGGGCCCGTTGTTGTTTATAATATATATATCAATGATCTTGATGAAGGAATTACTAGTGATTTGAGCAAATTCGCCGATGACACAAAGATAGGTAGGATAATTGATTCAAACGTAGATGTTAGGGAACTTCAGAAGGATTTAGACAAACTCTATTCTTGGTCAGAAAAGTGGCAGATGCAGTTCAATGTAGATAAATGCAAGGTTCTGAAGCTCGGGAGTGTCCATAACTCTAGCACTTATAAGTTAAATAATGTAGAACTTAGCCATACAGATTGCGAAAAGGACTTGGGGGTTATGGTAAGCAGCAACCTTAAACCAAGACAGCAATGCCTAACCGTACGGTGGTAGGTAAGACACATAGGCAACAGTTAGGCAACTTTATTCCGAAACGTTTCGCCTACACAGTAGGCTTCTTCAGTCGAATACAGAAAGTAGGCAGGAACAGTAGAGATGTGAAGACGATGTAATCAGTCCATCACCCTTGAAGTCGTAGAATTTGAGGTTGTCAGTCCCTCAGCCTGGAGAAGTTCAGTTCCATAGTCAGGAACTATCTGGCAGATACCCAACAGATACCCAAGAGTTGCACATGTGTCTATTTTGTCCATATTTATGTCTATTTTGCAAATTAGCACGTGCTCAGCTCAAGGTTAAAAACAAATTCCGATGAAGTTTAGAGTTTGAAGCCGATCAGAGATAGCATTCTTCAATTATGGCACAGAAAATCACATGCTTAATAAAGTTAGCAAATTGAAAGCTATGCAAACCAGTTAAAAATAAAGTAAAGCTTCCTTTGAGCAGTGATGAAAGTTTGAAACGGATTAAATGACACATTTGTCTTTTGTCCTTCTCTCTGCAGATCTTCCGACCACCATAACTATTAATTAATCCCTTCCCCACATTCCTTCCCACAGACTCGTCCGTGGCACACCCACCTCATGTTGGGATGTTTGGGCTGCCTGGGGGTGATCTCGGCCGCCCTCCTGCCCGAAACCTCTGGAAGACCCCTGCCACAGACACTGGAGGACGCGGAGAACCTCTACAGGAGAATTCCAACGTTCCACAGGAGCAGTGGGAAAAAGGGAGAGTCCTGCGGCGAAGAGCCCACCGGTGCCGTCTTGACAGCAATCTGCAAGACCTCCGCCCCTCCGTCACCAGATGTGAACGCTATTATCAAAGCCCTGGCTCAAGATCGAGTTACAGAGACTGTTCTCTGATGACTTCCAACGTCATCCAGTCGCAGCGGGAGAACATTGGTTACCTGGAGTTTACCTGGAGAGGGTTTCGGGGGAATAATTTCCGCAGGCGCAGCACACGGTGTACCTTTGATATACCTTTGACCGGTTTCGAGAGTTCTTCCTACTCCCACAGCCCGGTCCTCGACCAGTTTTGTCTGGTGCTTGCCTGGTTAATCAGGTTCTTGCTGCTGATTGCTCACTGGCTCACATATTCATCACAGCCTGGTTGATACGGCACTTGGAGTATGTAATTGTCCAGTTTCCTCTTGAAGACTTTTACACTTATTCCAGCAATGTTTCTTATATTCTGTTGTAGTGCTAAACTATCTGGGACCATGGATAGTGATACAATATTTTCTTATACTGCCCACGTCGCCCAGTATTTTTAAATGCTTTATTTGTGCTATGTGGACCGTAAATGATCTCTATCTATTCCATCTCTGATCTCTTCTGCGTTGAAAGGTGCAGTCAACACTGAACAATACTCTGAGCCAGAGAGCACAGGTAATTTGAAAAACGTCTCCATTTACACCATTTCCCTTGTGTTGAAAATTGTTATTATCCACCTTGTCATTTTGTCTGACTTTCGTGATATTTACCTTATTGTGTTCTTTGAAAGAAGGGTTACCTATTACACCTAGGTCTTTCAGATTTCTTTTTTCCATCTATTTGGTGATCTTGCATTTTGTATACCATGTCCATTTTGAGTTCTTACTCGTTTCATTCTCTAAGCAATTGGAACTTTTCCCTATTGACATCATATTATTCCCCTGCCCACTGGAAGATTTTGTTTATATCTCGCATTTTTAGTGTGTTCCGCGAATGATAAGAAACTGTGGTTAGTGTTTTTATTTCTGCTATAAAGATAAGAAACAGTAAAGACGCCAGGACCGTGCCTGGGGTATTAAGCTGTTTGCTAATGACAGATTTTGCCCTGTTTATTATTGCTGTGTTCTATTTGTCAGTTAAAAAATCCTTTGCCTACTTTCCCCATCATACCTGTCGCCCTCAAATTATGTGCACTCACTCAATGATTGCATTTGTCAAATGTCTTTGCAAATCCGTGTATACCCAATCTACGTTTTGATTTTCTTCCAAAGCCTCCGTAATCCTGTCATATTGGTTTAGTAATTGTGGCATGCATGATCTTTCCACTCTAAATCCAAGCTGGTATGGGTTGTGCTGTTCCATGAAATTTTTAATTTGACGTCTCATCACCCTTGCAAAGTCTAATGATGCGCGACGTTAGGGTTACAGGTCTGTAATTTAGTTGGCGCTCTGTTGCAAAGGATCTAATTCTTCACTCTAAGATCTCTGATATTTCTCCTAAATCAAAGTGTCATGCTAGTGGTATTTTGCACTTTATAAATAATGAATTCCACAACTCAGGTTCAGGTGTGCATCAGTGGGCATGTTTTCTATTTATTTTTCAGATTTTACATTCTCCATCTTGCTTTCGTTAAATAGATTATTGAACACTAATTCATATTGGCCCATTAGAATTTCTCTCATTTCATTTTCACTGTTAGTGTATGAACTTCCTGTGATTAATGGTTCACTTTTACTAGTAGTTCTTAATCTGGATTTTGCATATGTGTAGATTTTTTTTTTTCAGCTTAAGTTTTTGTTGTGTCTCGGTGATGTCTTGGTTGGTATTGTCATTAATCCTTCGTGACAGTCCTGTTTTTAAGCAGTTCAATAACCTCTTTTCTTCAGTACATTCTCCATTTTTTTCTTCTATATTTGATCTTTGGGATTTTCGTAATATAAATATTTAATGCATATTTTGTAAGCTTCTGTATTCCGCTTTTTCAGGCACTGGTGAGGGTTTAGAGCACTCTTGACTGTTTCCCAGGGTATGTCTGAAAGTTCTTGGTTAATTTCGTCCCTAATTTTCCCTGATTGGTTTATACTGCTGATAGATCTTTGATGTATTTAATTACTAAACATCCATTTTCTTTTACTATTTCTGGAGTTTTCCACTCCTGAATATATACTCGTTTATATTTTATGTTGTCATCATTGCATATTGTGTTTGTGATGGTTATGTCTGATTAGCTCCTCGTTGTTCGTGAAAATCATCTCCAGTGTATTTTCATATCTGGTGGATTCTCTTATCTGTTGGCTGAAAGCAAATTTTTCACAAAGTCCCATTAGTTGAGACGGCTTGACTTGTATGACCTGAACTTTGGTAAGATGGGGAAGGAAGAAGGATGGGTGAGGATGGGAATATGGGAAAAGTGTTGGTGGGGTTGTGGAGTTGGGGTAATAAAGGTAACTGACCCAGCCACTTTGGTGCAGTTTACTACACATTTGCGTGTGCGGTGTTATTAAAGAAATCTGTTTCATTGAATGGTGTATAACACTTGCCCATCAGTTTCACACAGTTATAACAAATGTAAAACTGTATGATACTAAGTTAGCAGGGGGTATTCTTTTTGCAATTGCTTTTTTTTTTTTTTTGCTACTGTGGGGCATAGGCTGGAAATGGGATAGAAAGGCGTTTGATGTTGGTTGATTGCTACCCGGAGATACTGGCCGGCTCAGCTGTTTCAGAGGTGTTGTCCTGCCGTAATAGGTTTGCAGTTGATACATGGTTAGATGTAATAGTTAATAAGGTAAAAGGGAAGTCTCCATAAATTGGGGGTAGTTTTGTCCTTATTGGACATAAAAGGGTTCCGGTGTTACCCATTCATCTATATCTTCTAGGAGGTCACTCAGGATCATTAGTCTCTGGAAATTATCCTGGATGAATCGTCACACTCTCTGTTGAAGGGTCATTCTTTGAGTTCTGTGGGAAGGTATATTGATGATGTAGTTAGTTTAATATGTTTATTATGCACCCCATACCCATCCTGTGGGCGGTAGTCAAAAGATTACAAAGGTACATAACGGGTCCAGGGACTGGACCCCAAAGTTATGATAACTGAACTAGTTACAAAGGTAATGAACTCCAGGTAGATCTGGTCACAATCATGGCAAGTTACAAAGGTAATTAATCATCCTCACTCCTATACATGGTTAATTACAAAGTAATGAGCCAGTGACATGTCCACACCTGGTCACAATTGTAATGAGTTATAAATACAAATATTAAGTGGGTCATACACCCACACGAGCACACACACACACACGAGCACGCACACACATACACACACGAGTGCGCACGCACAGACAGACACCTGTACACCGTGTACGTTAGGCCCATATTGGAGTATGCGGCACCAGTTTGGAACCCACACCTAGCCAAGCACGTAAAGAAACTAGAGAAAGTGCAAAGGTTTGCAACAAGACTAGTCCCAGAGCTAAGAGGTATGTCCTACGAGGAGAGGTTAAGGGAAATCAACTTGACGACACTGGAGGACAGGAGAGATAGGGGGAACATGATAACGACATACAAAATACTGAGAGGAATTGACAAGGTGGACAAAGACAGGATGTTCCAGAGATTGGACACAGTAACAAGGGGACACAGTTGGAAGTTGAAGACGCAGATGAATCAGGGATGTTAGGAAGTATTTCTTCAGCCACAGAGTAGTCAGTAAGTGGAATAATTTGGGAAGCGATGTAGTGGAGGCAGGATCCATACATAGCTTTAAGCAGAGGTATGATAAAGCTCACGGCTCAGGGAGAGTGACCTAGTAGCGATCAGTGAAGAGGCGGGGCCAGAAGCTCGGACTCGAACCCCGCAACCTCAACTAGGTGAGTACGTGCACACGAGCATACAAACATATGCACACACACAAGCATGCTCACACGCGCCACACACACACACACACACACACACACACCGTGTGTCCTTAGAGAAGGAGCAGAGATGCTGTGCGTGCCCCTAACCACAATCTTCAACACATCCCTTGAAACTGGGCAACTACCTGAGGAATGGACGACAGCAAATGTAGTCCCCATATTTAAGAAAGGAAACAGAAACGAAGCACTAAACTACAGACCTGTGTCTCTCACATGTACTGTGTGCAAAGTCATGGAGAAGATTATCAGGAGAGTGGTGGAACACCTGGAACGGAACAAGATTATAAATGAAAACCAGCATGGTTCATGGAAGGCAAATCCTGTGCCACAAACCTTCTAGAGTTTTATGACAAGGTAACAGAAGTAAGACACGAGAGAGAGAGGTGGGTTGATTGCATTTTCCTGGACTGCAGGAAGTTCTTTGACATAGTTCCTCACAAGAGATTAGTGCAGAAGCTGGAGGATCAGGCGCATATAACAGGGAGGGCACTGCAATGGATCAGGGAATACCTGACAGGGAGGCAACAACGAGTCATGGTACGTGAAGAGGTATCGCAGTGGGCACCTGTGATGAGACGGGTCCCACAGGGGTCATTTCTAGGACCAGTGCTATTTTTGATATATGCCACCGGTGGCCTGGTGGCTAAAGCTCCCACTTCACACACGGAGGGCCCGGGTTCGATTCCCGGCGGGTGGAAACATTTCGACACGTTTCCTTACACCTATTGTCCTGTTCACCTAGCAGCAAATAGGTTCCTGAGTGTTAGTCGACTGGTGTGGGTCGGATCCTGGGGGACAAGATTGAGGACCCCAATGGAAATAAGTTAGACAGTCCTCGATGACACACTAACTTTCTTGGGTTATCCTGGGTGGCTAACCCTCCGGGGTTAAAAATCCGAACGAAATCTTATCTTATCTTATCTTATCTTAGACTCTGGAATGTCCCTATCCGCAGATGATGTGAAGCTGATGAGAAGAATTAAATCGGATGAGGATGAGGCAGGACTGCGAAGAGACCTGGACAGGCTGGACATGTGGTCCAGAAACTGGCTTCTCGAATTCAACCCTGCCAAATGCAAAGTCATGAAGATTGGGGAGGGGCAAAGAAGACCGCAGACAGAGTATAGGCTAGGTGGACAAAGACTACAGACCTCACTCAGGGAGAAAGATCTTGGGGTGACCATAACACCGAGCACGTCACCGGAGGCACACATCAACCAAATAACTGCTGCAGCATCCGGGCGCCAGGCAAACCTGAGAATAGCGTTCCGATACCTTAATAAGGAATTGTTCAAGACACTGTACTCTGTGTATGTTAGGCCCATACTGAAGTATGCAGCACCAGTCTGGAACACACACCTGGTCAAGCACGTCAAGAAGTTAGAGAAAGTACAAAGGTTTGCAACAAGGCTAGTTCCAGAGCTCAGGGGAATGTCGTACGAGGAAAGGTTGAGGGAAATCGGACTGACGACACTGGAGGACAGAAGGGTCAGGGGAGACATGATAACGACATACAAGATACTGCGGGGAATAGACAAGGTGGACAGAGACAGGATGTTCCAGAGAGGGGACACAGAAACAAGGGGTCACAATTGGAAACTGAAGACTCAGACGAGTCACAGGGACGTTAGGAAGTATTCCTTCATTCATAGAGTCGTCAGGAAGTGGAATAGCCTAGCAAGTGAAGTAGTGGAGGCAGGAACCATACATAATTTTAAGAAGTATGACAAAGCTCAGGAAGCAGAGAGGGAGAGGACCTAGTAGCGATCAGTGAAGAGGCGGGGCCAGGAGCTGAGTCTCAACCCCTGCAACCACAATTAGGTGAGTACAATTAGGTGAGTACATACACACACACACACACACACACACACACACACAAGCACACACACATAGCAGCAGCAGCGAGTCATGGTACGTGGCGAGGTGTCAGAGTGGGCACCTGTGACGAGTGGGGTCCCACAGGGGTCAGGCCTAGGACCAGTGCTGTTTCTGGTATTTGTGAACGACATGACGGAAGGAATAGACTCCGAAGTGTCCCTGTTAGCAGATGATTTGAAGTTGATAAGAAGAATTCATTCGGACGAAGACCAGGCAGAACTACAAAGGGATCTGGACAGGCTGCAGACCAGGTCCAGCAACTGGCTCATGGGATTCAACTCCATCAAGTGCAAAGTCATGAGGATTGGAGAAGGGCAAAGAAGACCGCAGACAGAGTACAGACTAGGAGGCCAAAAACTACAAACCTTGCTCAAGGAAAAAGATCTTTCTTTCAACACACCGGCCGTATCCCACAGAGGTGGGGTGGCCCCAAAAGGAAAAACGAAAGTTTCTCCTTTCAAATTTAGTAATATATACAGGAGAAGGGGTTACCAGTCCCTTGCTCCCGGCATTTCAGTCGCCTCTTACGACACGCATGGCTTACGGAGGAAGAATTCTGTTCCACTTCCGCATGGAGATAAGAGGAAATAAACAAGAGCAAGAACTAGAAAGAAAATAGCAGAAAACCCAGAGGGGTGTGTATATATATATATATATATATATATATATATATATATATATATATATATATATATATTATATATATATATATATATATTATATATATATATATATATATATATATATATATATATGTATATATATATGCTTGTACATGTATGTGTAGTATGACCTAAGTGTAAGTAGAAGTAGCAAAACGTACCTGAAATCTTGCATGTTTATGAGACAGACAAAAGGACACCAGCAATCCTACCATCACGTAAAACAATTACAGGCTTTTGTTTCACACTCACTTGGCAGAACGGTAGTACCTCCCTGGGTGGTTGCTGTCTACCAACCTACTACCTAGGTTAGAAAAAGATCTTGGGGTAAGTATAACACCAGGCACATCTCCTGAGGCGCACGTCAACCAAATAACTGCTGCAGCATATGGGCGCCTAGCAAACCTCAGAACAGCATTCCGACATCTTAATAAGGAATCGTTCAGGACCCTTTACACCGTGTACGTTAGGCCCATATTGGAGTATGCGGCACCAGTTTGGAACCCACACCTAGCCAAGCACTCAAACTTCTCCTTACCAACCTCAACAGAACACATGACCATAACACAAGGCACAGATCACTCTTTGATGTTCCTCATGTCCATCTCACACTATGTAAAAACTCAATTCACATAAAAGGCCCAAAAATCTGGAATTCATTACCTGTGAATATAAAAGAAATACTGTCTGTTTATCAATTCAAGATTCTTCTTAAAAACCACTTACTCGCCCACAACTAAATAAATACTGAATAACTGAATCTCATAAATGTATAACCTGTGACCCTATCAAACTATGTTTTTTTAATTACATTACCTAATATAATACTCCATTCTCTTGAATGTACAGTAACTCATCTAGTGACCATATGACCTGTTTCTGCGCTACAATGTACAGTAACTCATCTAGTGACCATATGACCTGTTTCTGCGCTACAATGTACAGTAACTCATCTAGTGACCATATGACCTGTTTCTGCGCTACAATGTACAGTAACTCATCTAGTGACCATATGACCTGTTTCTGCGCTACAAATTATTGATTTTACTCCATCTGATTCTATTATATTATACATTGTTATGCTATAAATTTGTATAACTTTAATGTTTCTTATTTGGAATAATCATTTGTACTTCATGTTGTAATTTGTTTACTGTAATTTTTACCACTGAATATATCATTGCTTGGTTAATCTTAAGTTAATTTTAAGCTGCCCATAATGCTCTGCATACAAGGGGCTTTTGGCATGTTCGCTCAATCATTATATTTCTTTGTACAACTGTGTATCATGTCCAAATAAAAAATAAATTAAATAAATAAATAAATAAAAAATAAATGAAGTGCAGAGGTTTGCAACAAGACTAGTCCCAGAGCTAAGAGGTATGTCCTACGAGGAGAGGTTAAGGGAAATCAACCTGACGACACTGGAGGACAGGAGAGATAGGGGGGACATGATAACGACATATAAAATATTGAGAGGAATTGACAAGGTGGACAAAGACAGAATGTTCCAGAAATAGGACACAGCAACAAGGGGACACAGTTGGAAGTTGAAGACACAGATGAATCACAGGGATGTTAGGAAGTATTTCTTCAGCCACAGAGTAGTCAGGAATTGGAATAGTTTGGGAAGCGATGTAGTGGAGTTAGGATCCATACATAGCTTTAAGCAGAGGTACGATAAAGATCATGGTTCAGGGAGAGTGACCTAGTAGCGACCAGTGAAGAGGTTGGGCCAGGAGCTGTGAATCGACCTCTGCAACCACAACCAGGTGAGTACACACACACACACTAGCAAAGTCAGGGTATTTCTCCAGAATGGTCTGTAATATACCATTGTGGATAAAATACTTTGCCATTTCTTGAACATTTCTGAGGGAGTTGTCTCTAAATTTATTAATTTTATCGCACTCCAATACATAATGACGCAAGGTGTAACAATAATCCATCTGGCAAAGTTTACATTTCGTTTAGTCTACATCTGGTGGTGGTGATTCAATCGATGGTATTTGGTGGTTGGGGAGGGTTTTCTCTGTCTGGTATATAGAGTTCTTGCATGTCGTATAGTTGTCTCTTTAGTTTATCAAGACTTTCATTTATCACATCTATCTCCTGTTGGATGTGTAGATCTTCCATTCTGATTCTGTCTCTCCTCCTAGTACCTGTGATGAAGCGGAGTGCTCTATTCTGAACTCTTTGTAGTTATAGCATGTTGATTTTAGTTGTTAATGACATGGGTACACAAGGATATTCTAGCATAGGTCTTATCATCATCTTGTTCAGGTGTTTATTGATGTGGGAAGGGCCTTGATTAAACTTGTATAGATTGCTGAGGCGGGCTTTGGATAAGTTCACCTTTTTAGTGATGTGTGATGTGGAGTGATCTGTATATCTCTTATCCCAGGATCTTGTTGGGGTTTCTGATGACAATAGATGTACCTCTGATGGAAATAACCCCCTTGTCTTCTATAGTTGTTGCAGAACATCCGATGGTGCTGGTGAGGACTTTGTCTGGGTTGGTCGTGATTCTCCATTTCTTCTCCCAGTTTGCTGTTCTTCGTAGTTCCGTATTCATTTTTTTCGATTACCCTCACATGTTTATGTTTTCACGTGATGGGGTGGATGACACTACATGGATAACATCATCAGCAAGCTGGTTAATGATAGTATCATTGAACTCGAGTTGAGGGAGATCATTTACAGCAAAGGTTACATCAATACGCAACGGTGTTGACCCCACAGATGTAAATAACTACAGGCCAATCTCAAACTTATCGTTACTATCTAAAATCTTCGAGAAACTCGTGCACAAGAGATTATATTCGTTTATTACAGCACAGAGCATGCTCAACCCATGCCAATTTGGCTTCAGAAAAAAATAAAAGCACAAATGATGCAGTTGTAAAAATGCTTGACCTGCTTTACACAGCACTGAAAAATAAGGAATACGCATTAGGACTCTTTATTGACCTAAGAAAAGCTTTTGATACCGTAGACCACAGCATCCTACTTCACAAGCTTGACCATTACGGTATAAGAGGCCACACACATATATTTCAAATCCTACCGTATTAACAGGTATCAATACGTCACCATTAAAGACACAACCCCATCTACACGACCACTTGATACTGGAGTACCACAGGGAAGTGTCCTTGGTCCCCTGCTCTTTCTCTTAAATATCAATGATCTTCCCAAAGTACCACAACACCTGAACCCAGTTCTCTTTGCTGACAACTCGACTTATGTCATCTCCCACCCAAATCTTGCCTCACTCAACACCATTATTAATGAAGAGCTATAAGAAATATCAACCTGGATGACTGCCAATAAACTAACACTTAATATTGGCAAAACCTTCTATACAATGTTTGGTAACAGAGCAGATGTTGCACAACTGAACATTATGATTAACAATACTCTTACTGCTAAACATAATGAGGGTAAATTCCTGGGCCTACACCATGACAGCAACCTGAATTTCAGCACCTATATCCAACACACAGCAAAAAAAGTATCCAAAACGGTTGGGTTTCTCTCTAAGATACGTTACTATGTACCACAGCCTTACTCACATTATACTATTCACTCATCTATCCCTTCCTCACCTATGTTATTTGTGCCTGAGGATCAACAGCAGCAACACACCTAAAATCAATAATAACCCAACAAAAAGCCGCAGTAAGAATAATCACGCAATCCAGTCCCAAGCAACACCCCCTGCCCCCCACTCTTCAAAGACCTAAACTTACTCACTGTTCAGAACATTCACACTTAACTACTGTACAACCTGCATTTACAGAACCATAAATCCCATATTAACCCTGAACTAAAACACTTTCTTAATAGTTGTGACAGGACACATAGGCACAATACCAGACACAATACCAGACACTCCCCGTGTCCTGCTAAATCTATACAAACGTTCAATGTACACTAAAATCTGGAACTCCCTACCACACGGTGAGGGCCTGGGTTCGATTCCCAGCCAGAGTAGAAACATTGGACTTGTTTCTTTCCACCTGTTGTCTATGTTCCCCATCAGCAAAATGGGTACCTGGGTGTTAGTCGACTGGTGTGGGTCGCATCCTGGGACACTGACCTAAGGAGGCCTGGTCACAGACCGGGCCGCGGGGGCGTTGACCCCCGGAACTCTCTCCAGATCTCTCCAGAAACCTGTAAACTCTAGAACTGCAGACTCAGCCAGCATTTTCAAAACTACCGTCAAAAAACATCTTATCTCCCTAACACACCCCACCATCAACTAACTACATGAAAACCATCCATGCACACAAACACACACACACACGGGGCCAGGAGCTAGGACTCGACCCCTGCAACCTCAACTAGGTGAGTACACACACACACACACACACATCCTCCTGACCCAAATGACTATGAACATAAAATCGCCTGATAAATCTCAAGCTAGTGCTAAGTTTGTCTGAGATACTCCAGTATAGGAACTTTAATATAAACTGTGTATCATGCCAAGACAAAATCATTCTCATTACTAATTTTGCAAATTATTGCATTCTTAAATGTTCTGAACTACCTCGCTATTGTAAATCCATTTAATCATTTGTAATTTGTAATATAGAGTAAGAATTATTATTAGCCTGCACGAAATGCCTAGGCTTACTAGGCATGCTAGTGGCCTTTGTAACTGTTGTTTTATAATATGTAAGCCACCCATTGTAACTTTTGCAGAGAAATAAACATTTCAATTTCAATGTATGTTGAATAGCATTGGGCTAAGGCACGAGCCTTGTGGCACTCCAGCTGTCCGTGTGAAAGGCTCTGCCGATTTCCCGTTAAAAGTAGGGATGATTCTTCTTTCTGATAAGAAGCTGTATATGAATCTGAGAAAAGTCCAGTTGTGGTCAGGAAGGTCGAGAAGTTTAAAGAGGAGTCCGTCGTGCCACAGGCTGTCAAAAGCTTTGTGTACATCCCTGGTGGCAATTAGGG